TGTATGTGTGTGGTGTGTATGTGTGTGTGTGTGTATGTGTGTGTATGTGTGTGGTGTGTGTGTGTGTATGTGTCTGTGTCTGTGTGTGTGTGGGTGTGTGTGTGTGTCTGTGTGTCTCTCTCTGTGTGTGGGTGTGTGTGTGTCTGTGTGTGTGTGTGTGTGTGTGTGTGTGTGTAGGTGTGTGTGTAGTACCTGCAGAGTCTGAAGAGGGTGTTGGCCCCTTGGAGCTGCAGTCATGCTGTTGTGAGCCTCTTGACAGGGGGGCTGCTCAGGGTGGTCTTGACCTCCTGAACGTAAATGATCCTCCTGCCTCAGCCTCCCAAGTAGCTATAGGCAGGGTTTGAAACCTGTTCCCTCAGGTTTTTCCTGTCTTTGTGCCCCCTGGTCTTGAGTGTCACAATAAAGCATGTCCACCCAGGTGCCAGGACCTGTCTTCTGGCCAAGGCTGTTCTGATCTCAGCCTTCAAGATGGCAGCATTGTTGTTACAGGACGGTTCCTGCCTGTCTGCTCTGAGCATCGTCAGCTTGTGTGGCAGGTCGCCTGCGGCATAGGACAGTCACTGGAAAACGAGACAGCGTGGTGAGGGAGTGTGTGTACTTGAGGAGCCAAGCTTGTGTGTGTTTTGTTTGCTTGTTGGCTTTTGAGGCGATTGTAGTGCAGGCCGGTCGGGAACTCGCTCTGTGGTGCGGTAGGTACCGCACATCCTCTTCCTCCTGAGCGGACCACCGTGCCTGCGCTGTATTTATGTGAGGATGAGACTCGAGGCCCCACACACTGTCTAGGTAAGAACTCGACCAGTGGTCGTCAGCCTGACTCGAGGTGGCCGACAGCAGCCTGAGTCCCTGACTGGCTGCTCTCTTCCTTTCCGCTATTAGTGGGGCCTCATGACATAAGGAATGTGTCCGAACTGCTTCAATAAAATGACACATTCTTCATTTTCAGGCCAAAGTGGGTACTGTAGGCATCAGAATCAGGAAAAACAGTTCTGTCTCCACTGGGCCCATCCCAGGATCCTTTGGGAGCTCTGCAGGAAGTCATGAGCCGGGAGGCTGCGGACAACACAAAGTCAGGCCCGGCTCCAGACAGACACTTTGCTTTTGAGTGTTGTGCCGTTCATGTTCCTGTCAGCCTGCGTGGCCTCTCTGTCCACACAGCTGTCTCCTGTTCACCTCATGGTGTTCACCCCTGTACCAGGCTAAGGAAACTTGCTTTTCTGCCTTCTGTCTACTCAAGGGCAGTCACAGTAAGAACAAACTGTGGAATCGCAGGGTGGAATTGCCTAGCAGTAACTGGCCTGCCCCTTCCTCTGTCTGGTCAGCTCTCTGTAGGCAGTTATCTGCTCTTTCTGAGGGAGGTCGGCAGGTAAGCCTGGCCTGCCGCAGCCTCCTATCTCTGCCCGTGTGCTCCTTAGCCCTCCTCCTCGGTTCGCCTTTTCCTTAACCCGAGTCCTGCAGTTCAGCATGATCATCAAGCCACTGTTCGAGTCTTTCAAGGGGATGGTGTCCACCAGCAGCTTGGAGGAGTTTCACCGGACGGCACTTTCCTGGCTGGACCAGCACTGCTCTTTGCCTGTCCTCAGGCCAAGTGAGTGTGGAACAGCAGAGTCTGGGACTTCACGCCCTCCCCTGGGCAGTGCTGAGGGGAGGGTAGACCCCACTACACGCAGCCAGGCCAGAGGCCCAAGGACACGGAAGGATCCTAGACCAGAAGAGCTGTTGGCGCCCGCGTGGGTCCCTGAGCGCCTCTCAGCAGGCCTGCAGTCTAATCAAATCCAGCTTAACATTTATTGAGTATTTGCTATTTGCCGGACTCTGCTGTAGGTGAACTGGGTGCTTCCTTACCTGATTCCGTATTTAGTTCTAAAGCCACAGCCATCTCTTGACGTTGGAGGTTCAGTAGTGGAGCAAGCGCACTCGGGCAGCAGCTGTAACGGCAGCGCAGAGTCCTTGGGCTCCGTGCAGCCCCTGCTGGATCTGGAGGCAGCATGTGGGGCGGGGTCCGGAATGGCCCCGTCTCCTTTCCTCGCAGTTGAGCTCTGGCCTCGTCCTTGATGCGTGGGAATCACTACTTAGGGATGCGCTGTGAGGTTTTCATCCTGTCGCTCTGACCCTGTGTCCCAGGCTAACTCCGGCCTCCTCTCTCCACAGTGGTACTGAGTACCCTCCGGCAGCTGAGCACCACCACCTCCATCCTGACAGACCCGTCCCAGCTGCCAGAGCAGGCCTCAGAGGCTGTTTCCAGGATGGGCAAGAGACTGGGGGAATCGTAAGCACAGTTGGCATGTGACTGCATGAGATGCCCGAAGACCCCCGTCCCCGTCCTGACACACCACCTCAGGGCTGCCCGTGACTCCAGCGGCCCACTGCCCCGTCAGGATGCTGTGCTCAGGTCTGAAGCAGGTTTGGGCCTGCCCACAGCAGTATCCCATCTTGGGAACCCTTGCTGTGACCTCTCACTCAGTGACCTCAATCACCAGTCTCCCCTGCATTTGGGGTGGCCCAGACAAAGGGAAACATGGCTGTTCTGCTCCTCCCCTCCTGGTGGCCTGTTGGGGGCCAGGGCCAGCAAGTGCCAGACAAGGAGACAAAGCCCGTTCCTGCAGGTGGCCGTCACCCGGGGTCCCTCAGAAGTCCTTTCTTGAGACTTGGAGACTGGCCCCTGTCACATCGCTGTCTACTTGTGCTCCTCTGGCCACCCCTGCACACTTTCTGGCCTCTGTAGCAGCAGTGAAGTCTCCATCTCTTGCTACCCTGGCAGCAGCTGACCCTCTGGGCTGCCCTTCTGACCTCTGCAGAAAGGAAGGCGCCTCCTCCCTGGTGTCTTCTATTGAAGGGAAATCTTCTTCCCGAACCCTGAGCACACATGGGAAACTGGCTGTGGGGGCCAACTGGCCAGGTGACGGCACAGGCATGCACAGCTGCTCTTCCGGCTCAGGAACCCTCCGGGCGGTGTCCGTCCACTGTGTCTCGGCTCTGCCTGGCATTACAGTCACCGTGACGATCCCAGCGTTGCCAGGGACGTGGCCCAGCTGAGGCCGTCCCGTGCCCGTTCCCCGCCCTCTTCCACTGGAAGCTGTGGAAGAGGCGGAAACACTCCGGGTCAGTCCCACTCTTGGGTCGAGCGTTCGCAGGTCACACTCCATGATGCTGCTGTCATCCTGGTCATTTCATCAGAAGTTTGGGAGCTCCAAACCAGGACAGTCCTCAGACCAAGATGTCATCGTACGTACGAGAGAGAGAGAGAGAGAGAGAGAGAGAGAGAGAGAGAGAGAGAGAGAGAGAGAGAGAGAGAGAGTCTGACCCATCTTGTGTTAGGAGGAAGAGACAGAGAGCTGATGGCAGCGTGCCAAGAGTCAGCCCTGGAAGCTGGCTCCAGGCTAGATGGCCAAGAGCTGTGTTCCAGTTGGTAGAGACAGGGAGAGGTTGGGGAGGGCGCCCTTGACCCTCACCCTTCTCTTGGCTGCCTCTGAGATGCTGCAGGCGGTGAGGTGCCCTCTCCAGCTCAGGGAGCCCAGTCCAGGGCACCTCCGGGAAGGATGTGCGTTCGTCCTGCTGTGACACGGAGAGCAGGCAGCGGGGTTCTTAGACCGCCCTGCCCCTCCTCCCCATGCTGCCTGTCCTGAGGGGACCACGCGAAGAGGGGAGCCCAGGATGTTCCCTGAAGTTGTGACCCACGGGAGCCTGCTGAGGCCTGCCCTGGACTGTAGGTGGAGAGAAAGAAAGGGCAGGGCTGCCGGCTGCACCGCCATTGATGCGGTGAGCCCGCCATTGATGCGGTGAGCCCGCCATTGATGCGCTGAGCCCGCCATTGATGCGCTGAGCCCGCCATTGATGCGGTGAGCCCGCCATTGATGCGGTGAGCCCGCCATTGATGCGCTGAGCCCCGGCGGCACGCTTGCGCCATTGTCTGGTTTCTGTCCTGTTTTGGATAGCTTGGGGGCCCTCCTCAGCCGTCCCCAAAAACGTGTTTACAGGTTGAGGGATGGACACAAGGCACATAGGCTGGACCTTGGACTTTCCACCGGGCACCTGTTCCTTTCCCAAAAACGAGGTGAAATTGTCCTTCAGAAAGCGAAGGCCACTGTGGTAGGAGGAAACGAAACCGCTGCTGTGAGGGCCTCAAGAAGCCCAGCCCTTCCTCCTCCCGGGCCACGGGCCACACCGTGGCCGTGAGGACTCCTTCCTGTTCTCTCCTCCCTTACTGGGGAGAAACCTTGTTTTTCAAACTCCGTGGGTATAAGATTGGCCCTTTGCTTCTCTTGCCTACCTCTCCATTTTGCTGAGTTAATCTCATCTTGTTTCATCAAATGTTTAAGGCTGTTAGATTGTGTAAAACTGGGGGTGAGAGGGGAGAGGGAGGAGAGAGAGAGAGAGAGAGTGAGTGTGTGTGTGTGTGTGTGTGTGTGTGTGTGTGTGTGTGTGTGTGCGTGTGCCCTGGCAGACTATTAGGTGCATGTTTTTGTTTTGAGTGACTCCATTTCCCTTTTCTTGGTGCTCACTTTTGCCGTGGCTGTGAGGTCACAATGCTTTAAAATCTCCAGGAATGATTCTGCCTTGGAGATTTTTTTGTTTTGAAATCTTGCCTGATGAACCTGGCCAATCAGAGGGTCCTGGCCTTGACTTCTGTCCTGGACACCAAGGTCAGCCTTGGACTAGCCAAGGCCACTCTGCTGGGGTCTCCACTGGGCGATGACCACACTGTTGGACCGGGGTTTGTTTACACTTACCTTTCACTCCCATTCCTGCCCCCACTCACACAGAAGAAACTTCAAAATGTTAGCACTTTGGAGAAGAAGAATATTGGCCTAAAAGGAGAAACCACAAAGCCACCTGGGAAATCTCTGCAAGGGTTTCTGTGAAATCTTCACAAGGCATCAGCGCATGTTCTGTCTGTTCTTTCACTATGAGTGGGTGCTGCAGAGGCAGGGTAGCTCCTGCCATGGGGCTTCCTCCAACTTAACGGAAGGTTACGCACCAGCAGTCACCCTCAGGAGAGACCAGCCATGCTCCTCCAGTGGTCTACCCAGCCCAAAGGACACAGTTCAGCTCCAGGACGTGGTGTTCACACACTGGGTCTTGTAGAAGGCTGGAAGTGGCCGGTGAGCGTGAATGCTCATGTGACCCAACCATGAACCCTGGATCTTGTCTGTGTACTCAGGACCTCTTACCTCCCTGTTATCCCCACAACGTACATACTTTAAAGATCTGTCCTCCAGTCCATGCTCTGACTAAGAGTGACAGCCCTCTAGATTCTTAGACATGGCGCCCATTCCCTGGTATAGTCCAGTGGCAGGTGGTATCAGGCCCAGCAACCTCTCTTGGGTGTGTTGGCTCCTATGGCTGCCTGCTGGATCACCTGGCCTCAGCTCCATTCTCGTACTGGTTCTTGTCTTCCTTCCACAGTCAGATCCCTTTCTGTTCATTCTAACCTGGCTCCTCGAGGCTCAGTCCTGCTACCTGAGGCCTCCTAAGGGAGCCTGGGTGTGTGGGGGCCTCTCCTTTTTCTCTCCTGAGTGTAGAAATGGCCGATACCTAGATGCTAGGGCGCAGTTGCAGCCCACCAGTGTGTATGTATGGGACTTGGTTTCCAGTATCATCGTGTAGTCTGTTGGCGAGGTGTGCGGACAGTGAGACTGGTCAGTCGCCCAGAATGCCAGTGTTGCCGAGAAGTGCAGCCTTGGCCTCAGGCCCCTGTTGCCCTGCAGTGTTTCAGAGGACCTGTTCTGGGTCTGTGCATGTCTAAAAAGAAAGGGGCAATTAGGGTGCCGTGGAAGAGCGTGACGCTCAGGGCATGTGTCAAGTGTGTTCCTTCAGCGCTCACCTTGGCCAGGAGCTACTTAACAAGTTTTGAGATTTTCGTTTGGTTGGTTTTTGGTTTTTCGAGATAGAGTTTCTCTGAGTAGCTTTGGCGCCTGTCCAGGAATTTGCTGTGTAGCCCAGGCTGGCCTCGATCTCAGAGATCTGCCTGCTTCTGCCTCCCGAGTGCTGGGATTAAAGGAGTGTGCGCCACCACCGCCTGACCAGGTTTTGTGATCTTAAGTCCCATGGACAGCTGGTGGGAGATACCAGGAATGTGAGAGAAGCCTTAGGAAACAGTCCCTATCCTGTGCCTCTTGAGATGTGGGTAAGAACAGGTCAGCTCCCAGCTCTTTCTGAGGAATGGGCCTCGCTGCTCACCAGATAGGACTGTCTGCTTGTCAGAGCTTGTAAGACTCAAGCTTCTGGAAAGAAAAGGGAACTTTCCACAGTGAATGTTAACGTGTGTGTGCACGCGCACTTGCTCAAGCCTGTGTGTGTGTGCATGTGTGTTTACTTAGTGGAATTTTATTTTTGTGAAATTCCTTTCCAGTTGTTTAGCAGAATTCACCTGTATCTCCACGCCAAACTTTGGTTCCCCGGTTATAACCCAAGGCATAGTGAATTTGGAATTCCTTTGGGATTCCTGGTGGCATTCTCCAGAGCTGAGATTGTAGAGGGGAGGGAAGACACTGACGTTTTATACATTTCCTAGTTTACACCTGTAGGTTAAAAGGTCCCTTGGCCTCAGCCCGGCTGTGTCTCTCTTGAGGGGGTCTGGTTCCCACCCCTAGGCACTTTTCACCTGGGTCTTCGCCCTGTAGAGGGAAAGCGGGCTTGTCTGCCTGCTCTAGTGCCCCGGCTGAACCAACACGTCCCCCTCCTTCAGGTTCTGCAAGTTTCAGCTTCTGTGCACAGGCTGAGTGTCTGCTGTGTGCTTTGGTGATGGTACAGGGCTGCTTTGAGGAGGCAGCTGCGCCTGGGTTAGGGTGGGGTCCACTTAATCCAGATTCCCTGGGACTGCTTCCCTGAGCCTGGTCCTCTGGATGCCCTGCTGCTGACACGCACGTTTCCACCAGCTGTACCCAACACTACAATGCATTTTTAAAACTATATTTGCATCTAAGACAATAAAAAAAAACTTATTTTTTTTTTTTTTTTGGAAAGCTTGTTCTGTGTGACCTTCATTGCTGCCCATCCAGCTTTGGGGGAGGGGGGGATGACGTAAGGTGATCAGAGCCATGTGATGTCCTGGCCGTCCGGCTCTCTGCAGCCTGAGGAGATGAAAATTCAGCCGGGATGTAGGTAGATGGAGTGGGTAAGCAGGAGGATTCTAGAGGTGTGTCCTAGAAGATGATAGTCCTAGAGGCCTGCATGCAGAGAGAACTGAGGACAACTGGACATGGTGAGTCCTGCCCGTGAGCTCTTACACCCAGTGGCACTCTGTGCCCATAGTGTACATTACTATTAGCATGGCCTACACTACCAACAGCTTTAAAAGGGTTCCAAGCCATGCTAATGACCAAGGACACAGTGAGTCCCCTTGCTGACTGTTGGCCCAGCACCACAGACAGAATACTGAAACGTTGACCACTAGAGATGGTCCCTCCATTCAGTGCTGAGAAGGTTCTGGTCATCTCTGTTTAGATTGGGAGCTTCTCTCGATCCCCACCAGCCTCCCAAGTTGTTCACCTCAACCTGACTGCTCGCACCTGGACAGAGTGGCCAACAAGAGCCAGCCTCTGGGAACTACTGGCTTTTTTCATGAGGTAACAGCCTAGATCTGAATCTGTTTACCTGAAACTCTGTGAGCTAATATACACTCTTGTCAAATCTTGTCAAAACGCCACACCTCCGAGGGAAAGAAAAAAATCCATGACATGAAGCAAGCTGTTGGGTCTTGAGACCTGGAGGCCTTCCAGAGAAAGATGAGTGCAGCGTAGGCCCGTTAGCCGGAAGGACCTTGGTTTCCACTGTGCTGCAGGAGGGCTGGCTGCTCTGTTCTTTTCAAAGTTTTGAATCCATCTCTATGTGTCTGCGGGGGTCTAAAAAAGACACCTCAAGAGGCAGAAGTTGGAGAAGGCCAAGTTTGCATGGACCGGAGAGCCAATCCCAGCAGTTAAAGCAGCGGAGCCTGGAGCTGAGTGAGGAGTGTGCTCAGTGTCCCGGAGAGCTGACCAGGACCACGCCTCCTGCGGCTGCCTGCTGGATCACCCGGCCTCAGCTCAGGCCTCAGCTCCCAAGGTCATCTTTGGACCAAAAGGTCATCTTTGTCTTATAAATGGCCTCCTTATCCACCAGGTACCAAGCCCAGATCTGAGGCGTCCACCTTGACGTCCTTGTCCTCTCTTTCCCTTTGTCCTTTAACACCAGACTTGGGGTCCCTTCTCCACACGGAGTCTACCTGCTCTCTTCCAATCTGTCATCACTCCAGGCCTGCTTATATCACTGCCTACCTGACACACAAGGTAGACGCTGGCCCCGTCTGTGTCTCGGCCTCACAGTGGGACTCTCAGGGACCCCAGCCTAGTCACGTCTCTGTGTCCAGCTTTCCAGACAAAGCTGCACCCCCCCCCAATGCAAGCCCTCTCCCTATCTCACCCATCTGGGGCCTGCTTGCCTCGGCAACCCCACCTTTGTTCTTCACAGTCGGCACCCATGCAGTGCGTAGGTTAGTATTGTCTTATTCCGGGTCCCCCAGGCACGTTTCCTACACCCTAACCCTTCCCCGTCTTAATTCCTTTTTCCAGCTACTTCCATTTTTCCCCCCAACCAGGTCTTTCCTGGAAAGCAGTTTAATCAGGAGACAGGTCCAATTCTCCCCCCTCCAGCTCACCTGGCCTCAAGATGCCCCGTGTTCCTGAGAACACTGACGTGTTCGAGATCATTCAATTTTTCTTCCCCGTGGGCTTCCCAGCCCATTGGGACCAAGACTCCTTGCCTCTTGTTCACTGTGGCTCCAGCACGTAGGGACCTAGGTAACCTGTCGATGAACTCTAGACCCAGGCTTACTCACTGGCCACCCACCCCACGGCCATTCCCGGAAACGGTGAAAGAAGAAAGGTTTCTGAGTAAGAATTCCAGACAAGAGGTCGGCAGTTAGCAAGTTTAAGTGGCAGGCTGAAGAGGATGTCCACTCTGATTGCATAGGAAATTCTAAAACATTTTTAAAAACTTGGTTATTTGAGCTGGAGAGTTGGCTCAGTGGTTAGGAACACTTGCTCTTGCAGAGGACCTGGGTTTGATATCCAGCACCCACATGACAGCTCACAACCTCTGAGGGCACCAGGCATGCACATGGTGCACAGACATAGGAAAATCACCCATACACACAGAATAATGAATGTTTACAAAGTCACTTCTATTTTACGTGTATAGGTGTATCTGTATGTACTACCTGCATGCCTGGTGCCCAAGGAGGCAGGAAGAGGACATTGGATCCCCTGGATCTGGACGGCCGTGAGTTGCCATGTAGGCGCTGGGAATCGAACCCAGATCTTACTGAAGAACAGCCAGTGCTCTTAATCTCAGAGCCTTCTCTTCAGCCCCAGGATATTTAAAACCTTAACGAGTAATTTAGGTTGTAGGTACAAAAATAAACTCTAAATGGAATTACAGCATCATTTTGATGTAAACTCTTCCCCACAGTACTAGTGATCAAACTCAGCCTTGAGCATGCAGGACAAACGCTCTCCCACTGAGCTACATTCTTAACCCTTGATACTTGGAGATTTGGTTTCACCACATAGCTCAGGCTGGACTCCAGCACACATCCTCATGTCTTGGCCTACCAAGTGCTGAGGCCAAGTCAGAGGTGCCCCCCTTGGCTTTGGACTTTGGGTTCTGTAGCTGCAGTTGCTTCTTGGATTTTGGTAGCTTATTTGTTTGTTTGTAGGTCAGGTCAGAATATAAATTTGTGGAGGACCTACCATTTAATGAACATGTTTTTGTTTGTTTGTTTGTTTTTCAAGACAGGGTCTCACTGTGTAGCTCTGACTCTCCTGGAATTCACCATCTAGACCAAGATGGTCTTGAATTCATAGAGAGCTACCTGCCTCTGCCTCCCAAGTGCTAGGATTAAAGGCATGCACCGCCACTGCCCAGCCCATGAACAGGTCTTTTTAGATGAGGTCCCCATACACCCACAGTAGTGGACAATAGTGTAATGGACACCTAATGCTATTAAGTGTCCTAATGGCCATCACCCTCGCTAGTGGTCAGCAAGGGACCAGTTTGATCTCTACCCACCTTGCCCTCATCTTCATTATTTCGAAGCAAATCCAGACACCATAGGGATTTCAACTGTTAATAGCATTTTTTTTTTTTAAATTAGTGGAGCATGGTGGCATATGTTTGTAATCTCAGCACTTGGGAGGACAAGACAAAGAGATCTCTGAGTTTAGACCCAGCCTGCTCTACACAACAAGTTTCAGGCCAGCCAGGAAACTACATGTAAGACCCTGTCTTAAACATGTAAACTAACAAAAATTCCCTCAAGTCCCCCACATTTCCAGAAATGCATTAATACCTGTTAAGTCATTCAGAAGGTCCTGACAGGTTACAGTAGATAAAAAACCTGGAGAACGGATCTGTGTAATTAATCAGATTTCTCTTTCACTGAATCATTAGCTAGACAACCCTTATTTAGAAAAGGGAAGAGCTTTCTAAGATAAGAGTTGACTTTCCTGCCTGAATGACTGTGATACAGCAGACTGCCTAATCTCTTCATCGAGTCTGATTGGGTACAGCTCCTAGGCTGTGTGGTTCCATTACAGTTGTCGTGGGGGTGGGGTCTGAGGCAGCAGAGACTCCGCCACCCACTCAGCCTACCAGCCCCATTCCACTGCGGCCGCTGCTGACTCCTGAGTTAGTGACCCAGGCCACCCATCAGTGGGGGTGTGATCGGCTCTCACTAGGACACTTAGAAGCATCTCCGGCATCTTCCCCCCCCCCCATCCCTGCGTGGCTGTCGCTACCCAGCATCTGCTCCTCTCTTCTGGTCCCCTTTGGTTCATATCTGCACACAGAAGCCTGGATTTGAGCTGAGGGTGGGGAGTTCGTCAGCACTAACTTTCCTGGAGATCAAACAAAATAGACATTGACCCCAAGTGATGGGGTCAGCATATGGAGCTTGAGACCCTGCAGGAGCGGAGAGGGTGGGAGACAAGGAGTGCCCTTGTGGTAGCATCTGGGCCAGGAAGCCCCTTCCAAGCAAAGTTAGCCAGCCTGAGGAAGACTCTCACAGGAGAGGCCTGCGGGGAATAGAGCGCATTTCAAAGGAAGGACGATTAGCAAATCTTAATAACTTCACATCTCAGATTTTGGAGAGTTCTGCCTGCCCCAGGGTTTTTTCTTGTCACTTTACCCTCCTCTGGCTTTTGCATTTTTATCTCCTTTGCCACTGACTCATTCCTCTCACACATTTCTTTCTCAGCTCTCTACTTCTCATCAGCCTTTCTATAACTTTCAATTTCCCCTGCCAAAAAGTCGTTCATTCCCAACATGTGGCACCACAGCACCGCCCGCCATCATTTGCTGCCTTAAGCCAAAGCTTGGGGTTGGTTCCACCTTGATTCTTTCCTCCCTTCAAGTCTCACATCCTCACTTTCCAAAATACACACAGATCCATTCGCCATCCTTCCGGAGCGAAGCCCACAGCCCTGTTTTGACAGTCACCATAACACAACCTCTGTCTCACACGGCCTTCCTGTTGCATGACCCAGGCAGAGGAGCACCCGTGGCCTGCCAGTCACGCGCCCGGATGATTCCCTCCCCCTTTGCCAATGTCGCCTCCCAGCCTCGTGGCTTTCTTCCTCCGTGGTCTGGCCTGGCCTGGCGCAGCCCACCTTGGCCTTTGATCTCCCACCAGTGCTCTGTTTCTGTCAGTCACTGGCGTCACATGCCGCCCTCTACTTGGTAATGTAACCCCCAGGACCACTCTCACGTCATTGCCGTGGCCGGAGGACAAGGCTCACAGCTCATGTTATCTGACATCTGTATGTCATGCATCCAGCTTCTACACCCAGAGTACTTGGTAAGGTCATGATTTAAATCACATCTACCACTACCTGTTAGCGTAATGCAGCAGCCTGTGAAATAGCTACTATTATTACCCCCAATTTAGAGATAAGGAAGTTGAGGCTTGAGAGGTTTATGTAACACCCAG